AGATGTATTCCCCCTTCATCATCCAGGTGAGGACAAAACTGATTTGGGTGTTGACCATTAACTTGTGTCTAAAAATAAATCTTTTTAGCATATACTTATACATCCAAAAATACTTACATTATGTCATTTTACCTGTGTTTTTTTTTTAATTTCATACAAATGGTACCTTCCTATACATGTTCATTTTTTTGTCTTGCTCAACCTGCTTTTGAAGAGTATCCAGATGGATCAATTGAAGAGTATCCAGACTATATCAATATAGTCTCTGATATATGAGAAATGAGCATTCATTCATAACTGCTCTATAGTAGTCTATTATTTATTTATAGCTTTTGTATAATATTCTACTACTAGAGACTGGGTTGGAGGGGGTGTGTGTCCCTCAACCCAGCCTGCATACATTCCAATCCGGGATATCCCTCTCACAATCTGGGACTGCTGGTTCCTAACTGCTCACCTGCCTGCTTGCCTGATCACCCCTAACTGGCTTCCCTGCTGGTTTGATCGCCCCTAACTGCTCCCATGCCTGCCTGATCACCCCTAACCACCTCTGCCTGCCTGATCGCCCCTAACTGCACCCATGCCAGACTGATTGCCCCCAATTGCCTCTGCCTCAGTCCCCAAATCCAGGACCCAGGCTTCTCTCTTCTGGACGGTAACAGGAACCTGGGACCAGGGTTTCCCTCCCTCTGGCTGGCCACAAGCAGCTGGGACCCAGGCTGGCTTCGCCTGGGCAGGCCACAGGCACCAAGGACTGGGGACAGATTTGCCTAGGCCAGCCGCAACCACAAGCACCCTGGACCATGGGAGGCTTCTCCCAGGCCTGGCTTTGTCAGGAAGGACATCTGGAAGGTCATCCAGAAGGTCATCTGGAAGACACCCAGTCTAATAGCATATTACCCTTCTATTAGTATAGATTATGCATACTTCACCTAATTTTCCAGGTGTTGTGGACACCCTGTAAAATTCCAAGATACCTTAGAGCAAACAGGGATGTACCCAGTCTCAAGTTAAATGAAACCCAAAAGAATGTGGGTTCACACAGTAGGACTGTGTTGTGAAAATATAACAATACAAAACTATGTACCAAGGACAGGGTTAAAAGCCATATAAGCAGGCACCAGGAGGTGCTTTAGGAGTTCTGGGAGGCCTGTCCTCTGTCATTTGAACTGGGATGGAGAGATTTGTTATGAGGTTGTCTAAAAGGGCATTGCAGTCCAGAGGCAGAAACTAAGTTTCCAGTACTCTCTAGAAAGGTACCATTTCCAACCCTGCAATTCAGTGACGAGCAGTCAAATGGGAAGGGGTGCCGAAAACAGTAGATAGAGCATCAGCCTGTGGATTTAACGGTCCCAGGTTCAATTCCGGTCAAGAGCATGTACCTTGGTTGCAGGCACATCCCCAGTAGGGGATGCGCAGGAGGCAGCTGATCGACGTTGCTCTCTCATCAATGTTTCTAACTATCATTCTCCCTTCCTCTCTGTAAAAAAAAATCAATTATATATATATATATATATATATATATATATATATATATATATATGCTTTTTTTTTTTAATGGGAAAGAGAATGTGTAGTGCCTGCACATGAAGTTAACCTACACTGCAGCATTTAAACCTCTCAAGGGCCAGCAGGTGGTCAGTTTTTAAAGCAATCTCTTGGAGGCTGACATGGAGAAAGCTACGGGAGGCACTGGGTTTTGTTACTCTTCAGTTAGCTGCTGCTCTGCCTCCTATCCCCTGGCTCCTGCTTCCCTCCCCTCTCTTTCTGCTTCCCTCCTCCCCTCCTTTCAGTTTGCCTCCCATCATTCTCTGCTATAATTAAAACAAGTAGAAAACTTGCAGGTGTCTGCTATAAAGCATTTGCAGATACTGTGTAGAACACGAAAAAAAAGCAGCTGCAAATTGTGTAATTTGGTCTTTAGAAAAAAAACTGAAAGGTTTCTGGAAATAAACTCATCCTCCATCCTGGTAGGTTTTGAATTTCCTTTTTTGTTTCTGCTTTAGCCCAGTTCATCCCCATTGCCTCACTGCCTTGGCAGAAAGTTTCAACGCTGTGAGTGCCATTACTATTTAAGAAGAAATGGGAGATTTCCGAGCTGATAGCTTACTATGGGGAAACTGACTGCAGGGTCTGGCACAGTTTTAGACAGAGTTTCTTTCAGTCCAAATAACACCTGAGAATAACAGCAACTGTAAGGTACTAACGATGACAAAAAGTAAAAATGGGCTGAAATAATATCTGTAATACATGAAAGGGACCTTCCCTCCCCAGAGGAAACCAATATACTGGCACAGATAACATGGAGGACACCTCATTGCTTTCTTGGGACATCTATTTAGGTCTGGAAGCCATTTAAAAGATGTGCTCCTAAGGCAGACCATGGGTGTTCCAATTTGAGCTTAAGGCTCGGCCATGTCTTCTTCTCCCCTGACTTTCAAGTTTCTCCGCACCATGGAGTGGGCACAAGAGCTCAGAAAGTCAGTTTAGCATCAAAGAGTTCAGATTCTCCAGTCAGACAGGGCTGGGATTGAAATCCTGGTTTTACCTCTAACTGTGACCATTGGAAAAGTTACTTAACTGCCTACGCTTTTATTTCCTCATCTGTAACAAGGGGAAATTCTATGTGCACCATGGTCATAATTCTTGAGAGGACATAAGGAGATAATGCATATGAAGTACTTACTAACATAGTGCCTGCCATGGGAAGGGTAGACAGTAATGGTAGAGCTAGTGATGGTGAAGGTGGTGGTGAAAATTTTGCTTCCCTTTCTTTTAGAGCCCCACAGTGGGTCACATCCATCCATTCATTCATCCATCCATCCATCCATCCATCCATCCATCCACTCACTCAACAAATATCAGAGACCTCTATTATATATGCTGGGCATTGTTCCAGGGTTCTATTCAACAGTATATGCCTTTATAGCCACTGATATTTAAAAATAAAAACAGAAAGCATGCAATTAGTAAAACTTAATAGTGATGAAGAATGGATGACATATAAATACATTTCAGGAAATTAACATTAGGTTGAATCAAATCACCTTAGTTATTAGTCATGCTATATTTCCACACCTATGTCAAATGTATATTGCCTTTGTTTGTGTCTTTTTGCTCCTGGTGGCAAACTTTGAGTAATAAATTAGATTTCCCTTGGGAGAAACACAAAGCCCTTGAATACATTCTCTATCTGAGCAAGAAATGTATAAGCCCAAGTAGAGTCATCACTATCTGAATGGCTTTTCTGTTTAACCCAAACTTTATTTCATAGCAGAGTATAGTCATCAGCCAATTATTTTTCTGAGGTCAGTGTAAAGTATTTTGTTCCTTTCTTTTCCTCTTTTGCTGCAACATTTAGTTTCCTTCTCTTTCTTATTGGCCTTCTTGCCTTTGTTTCTTCCCTTTCCATTGAATATTGCATATTTATTTTCCCTACAAGCCAGACCATTATTCATTCATTCATTCATTCCCTTTTACTCACTCAACATGATTTGACTCTCTATTAGTGCCTGGAACTTGCCACTCCTCTCCTTAATCACTAGTCATGGTTCACTATTACATATGAATCAAGCCCATAGCCTTCACTCTAGTTCCACCCTTAAAATTATTATTTTCTATTATAACTGTCCACTCCAGACTGGTTGTAGGAAAGTCCTGTGTATCATATTTTCATTTTTATACCTCAGTTCTTTTACAGCAGCATGACTACCATCAAAATCCTTATAATTAAAAGTTTGCTCAGATTCATTTCTTCTATGGAGTATCCTACAATTCTAGCTTGGCTGTCCCCAAATTTTGGAACTTTGATGCTAAACAGAAGGAGTCAGAAATGCATGATCCTCTTCCAATTAGGCTGGGAAATGAAAACTTTTAGCACATTACTACCTTGGGTATTATGTTTGGTACCTTCTCATGTCATCTCAATCTAATCCACACAGCAATATTCCTATTCCTATTCTACTGGTGAGAAAACAATGGCTTAATAATTTGCTACTTTCCCAAAGTCACATAACTAGGAAGAGATGAGGCTACTATTCAAACTCAGATCTGTGTAAATCCATACATAGCCCGAGCTCTAAAAGAGCAGTTTTCAACCTTTTTCATCTCATGGCACATATAAACTAAATGACTAAAATCCTGTGGCACACCAAAAAATTTATTATCATTTTTGATGATATGACAAAAAAATAGGTATAATTTTGATTCATTCACACTGGATGGCTATCACTGTGTTGGCTGTTGTCATTTTTATATTTGACAATATAAGGCAGATTAAATAGATGCTGCATGTTTTAACAATTATTGCAGCACACCAGCATGCCACAGCACACTGGCTGCTCTAAAATACTGTGCAATGTTGGCTCTCAGAAGTATAAAATATGAAAGGTCTAATTTGCTGCAGATTCCTTCCCAAACCCCACAGGCAAACTCCCAAATTGAACTTACCACATACTGAGATTTAATCCAGGATTTATCTTCCTTAGCACTCCTGACATTTTGGGCCAGGTAATTCTTGGTTGTGGGGAGCCCTCCTGGGAACTATAGGATGTTTTGCATCATCCCTGGCTTCTACCCTAGATGCCAATAGCATCCCCTTTCCAGTTATAATAATAGAAAATGTCTTCAGAGATTGCCAAATGTCACCCTAGATGCAAAATTCCCCCCAGTTTATAACCACTGGCCTAATTCAGTCTTGCAATATAGACACATCTAAGGACAAACTAAACATAAACTATATAAACATGGGAATAGTTACACTGTGCACAAACACGTTTTCTATGGATAGCTCCATAAGATGTCTTCATAAGCAACAGTATTGTCATTTAATTCAAATGCAATGTAAAACATTACTCAAAACTATAGTTTTTAAGGAAATTGAGCTTGTGTAAGAAAACAGTTTTATTTTGTTTGTTGTAAGAGGACCATTTCAAAACTTATTTCAAACCAAGAGAAACAATAAGAATGAAATCCTTTATGAGGTTAATATGTAAATGTGTTCAGGGAATAATCGACACAATCCAGTTGAAAAGGCTTCCTCCTGATAGGATACAACCATTAGCAAGATCAAAAAGTCTCTCGAGATTGAGTATGGATGGCAGCGAGACCTTAAATGGAACCTGAGAAAAAGCATAAAAATGTTTATGAAATGTATTGTTTTGAACTGTTGACTGAAGTAAAGTTCTCAAAATACACAAATACCAGTTCCATATAATAATTTTATGTGAAAGATATATAATTCTTGCCTAAGCTAAGATTGCAGCTTTACACTGCTGAAATGTCACATATATCATTTTATATCCTATTAAGATTCACATCTATGAGTCTATAAAATGCATACAGATTCATACTGATGAATCTGTAAAATTGAGCCTATAAAACAGCAGATACTTCTAGAAATGTGGACTATTTGTGTGGGCATAATCACTGAGAATGATTCTAAATGAAGGACTTTGGCTTCTGAATAGACTGCCCAGATTCTGACAAATCTCCCTCTCTCATTTTGAGCTTAAGTCCTGCCACAGTGAAACAAATTAGGTTAGGGGTTCACTCTCTCTGAAAGGTACTATTACCACGCCAAGAACTCGTATAGCCAAAGTCATCTGAGAGCCTAACAAAAAGCAATAAGACAGCTTTTGTGATTGTAGCACTGACTATTTGATGGGGAGGAGGGCAGAAAGGGGAAAATAACATGAAGGGAAGGAAATGAATGTTTACTGCAGACCCACTTCATGCACATCTAGATATTTTTAAAGATGAATGATGTCATGTCGAATGACTCTAATGACTTAGATTCTTGTGAGCCTGAATCCTGGTTAAAAAAAAAAAAATTAGAGGACAAGGATTATTAATTCCTTATCTACTTGTTAAATGAACCTATTATTCTCCAGAAAAATGGAGACTAGTTTTTATTTGTTTTTCTTTACTTTTTGGATTTAAAAAGTGACAAAAGTTATTCTATAACTTCAAATAATAAAGAGGTGAATATAAAAACTAATGGTATCCTCTTTACCACTAAATCTTAGACTAATACCACCAATTTGAGAATTCTTCCAAAATTGTTAAAATCCTCATACAAATGTATATTAACATGGGTCTTTTCCTTTTCTTTCTTTCCTTATTTTTTGAACTAAAATAACCAAATTTCAATTCATTGCTTTTTAAATTACCAATATGTAAGAGAAATCCCTCCTTAATCAATTCAGGGAGGCAAAATAACCACATGGAGGTCAGGAGTATGCATTCTGGAATAAGACCATTTGGTTCATACCAGATATATGAGGTTAGGTAAGATATTTTATGCGTTTTAACATTAATTTTCTAACCTATAAAATGGAAATAATAAGAATTACTATATACTATTGTTGTTACAAGAATGAAGTAAGTTTACACATAGTAAATAGAATTGGCCCTTTAACTATGCTGGGATTAGGGATGCCAATCCTCCCACACAATTGAACATCTGCATAAAACTTTTTTACTCCCTCACAACTTAACTGCTAATAGCCTATTGTTGACTAGACACCTTATCGATGGCATAAACAGTTGAGTAACATATTTTGTATGTTCTATGTACTAAATACTATATTCTTACAATAAGGTAAGCTAGAAAAAGAAAATCATAAGGAAGAGAAGATATATTTACAGTACTGTAGGTGTTTATTTTAAATATCCACATATAGGTGGACTCACACAGTTCAAATCTGTGCTGTCCATGGGTAAACTGTACCTAGAAGAGTGCCTATCACAAACATCTAATCAAGGCTATGTTGTATTGTCACTATTGAACACACCATTTTTAATGGTTCTATAACAACGCCTGGCCTGGGCCGTCCTTCATTAAAGAGGTAGTTTCTAGTTTTTGAGCATGCTTGTCTACTTATCTATCTCCTGGGTGCAAGTGCTTTAATTTCTGTATCGCTGATTCCTCAAGGTGGTTGTTCTGGTCAAAGGGTGTTTACATTTACTTTTTTTTTTTTTTTTTTTTTTTTAACATTTCTTACTTTCCAAATAGGTTCTGACAATTAATACTTCAATCAGAAACACATGAGGGGTTTCACACCCAGGGCAGCATATTATTATCATGGAATGTTATAATCTTGTTATTTTGCCATTTAATAGACTATCTTTCTTTATTAAAAGTTAGAAACATCTTAGAGAGCTAATATTAATTTGCTTATTAATATGTTGACATATATGGGATTACCATGATTACTCTGGTTACACCTCATTGCTATATAATTGCACTAAACATTCAGTTTATTATATGGCAATGAAAGACCTCACATCCAATAATGCCCTTTGGTAGATAATTTTCAAAGTAGTAAGAATAATTGACATTAAAACATTTGTGTGTCTTTTCTCTGGAGCTGTATTTCTGTTATTATAGAATTTTTCTCATATTAAAGATTACAGTATTTAAAATAAAAACACAAAGAGGCCACATTAGTTTTAGATAACATGAGAAGTATCTTTATGGCATAATTTATATACTGGATCCAAATAGAGCGCTTTGGCCTCTGACCCTTAACAATGAACCTGCAGAAACAAATGGCCATTTGTCAAAGGATGGAGATTAATTGCTCGGTTTATTTATGAGGCTGCGAATGAACACTTCGGGTCAGAAAGATGAAATAAAAAGCTGTCATCCTGGAGTTGTTAATTTTTTCCCATCCTCTGGAGAACACAAATGACCCTAAGATGTCAGAACTTACCCTTGTGCTATTATTCCTACCTTTTCAGACACCTGGGCAATTTAGGGGCAAACTGCAGGGTTTCATTAAAATCAGGCCTGGACTTGAGTTTGTTGAGGAGAGTTTCCAACAAACTCTGGAGAATTACAGGTTACTTGCCAATGCTATACTGTGTTTTATATGTGTTTCTGCATGAATATTAGATTTTATCATAATGAAATATTTTATTACTTCTGTCCCTTCGCTCCAATGATTTTCCTTGATTGGCAGAGAAATTATACAGTCTTGAAAGTATCTATAATTTTTTCAATCCAATGAGTTTTTATTGAGCTCTACTTTGAGACCTCTTCTTGCTTCTCTCAGCACACCATTGTCAGTTGCCTTTTCATTGCTTCTAAGTGTTAGTGACCAAGAAAAAGGGACAAAGCTAGATTTCCACCAATCAACTAGGTCTGTCTGCCCTGATAATTGGTAAGTGAATATAAAATCATGGGCTTTGTGATACGGGTGGCTTTAGCTTTGCCTCCTTTCAAGTACCTTAAAACACAGAGAGTCACAGCCATGAGAGGAATCATTTTGATAGTTTCAGTGTAGGAAAGCAATTTCACCCAGCATTCTCACATATAAGTTTCACTACCATGGTTTCTATGTCTTCTTAGTAGCTCAGCTGAGTGTTTAAAGTTAATGATTCATTGGATTTTTGTTTTCAAACTGAAGGAAAACATGCATTCCAAAGTAAAAAGAATCATATGACACTACCTTACTTAAGAATATAAATCATGAATGATTGCTTATCCACCTAATAAAAGTTCCAGGTGAGAGGGAAGTTGTTATATTTGGTTTCATTGTACTTTTTATATGATGATGATACAAAAAAAACAATGGATAATATTCACCACAAACTAATAGATACAATACCCAACGCTTAGGAAGGTCAGAAAGGCTTATATATACAGCTCTATCATACCACAGGAAATTTCACACGTTTCTGAGAATAAGATTTATCTTTTGCATTACTTTAATTTTTTGTATTAAAAAAAAACTAAGTATGACAGAAAAGAAATGTCTTTTTTGTTTTTGTTTTCTGTTTTTAAAAATATATATTTTATTGAATTTTTACAGAGAGGAAGAGAGAGAGGGAGAGAGAGTTAGAAACATCAATGAGAGAGACACATCCATCAGCTGCCTCTTGTACACCCCCTACTGGGGATGTGCCCACAACTAAGGTATAAGCCCTTGACAGGAATCATACCCGGGACCTTTCAGTCTGCAGGCTGACGCTCTATCCACTGAGCCAAACCGATTTCGGCTTTTTTTTTTTGTTTGTTTTTGTTTTGTTTTTTTTACCATAATATGAGATTAAAGTGTCATATTGGAAAGAGAGCAGGAATCTTTTAAAATTAATCTTAAATAAATAACATTACTATAAAAACACTTTGCAGAGAACAAGAACATTAGAAATTAAGATAGGATATGGGAGAGAAAGCATTTGTGCAGAAAATTGGTTCAAATGTTACACTGTCTAAGAGTAGAACACATTCTTCTTAAATCACCATCACCATTGTCACCGAAGCTCTCCAGCCACTGATTCCCGGCTGAGCATGGTGCTTCCTTGAACTCTTGAGCAGAGGTCATCTTTTAATAAAGGCCAATCCTTGCTCAGACACGATGTTCCAAAAGCACAGGAAACCAAATGTGTCTGTCCAGTCAAAGTAATTTCAACAACTTCTCAGTGATTCTATGATTGCCAACTTTGTTTCCCTTCTCACATCTAAGTAGATGCCAAAAGTATTTTTGCACAATGGCCTCTATGAAGAGTACCTCCAGGAGAGAAGATCTGTTGAGGGAGACTGCATCTACTGGGATGCATCTTTAAAAATTCATTTTAGGTTATGCACATAGTTTACGGTTATGGTACAGTAAATATAAATATTTGGTCTTTGACCCAGGTTTCCTGGCATAGAGCTCCTAAAGGTGCTGAAAATTTTCTTTTTAAGTGCTAACTGCAGGATAGGGTTGGTCACCAGGAAAACCATCCAGGTGATGAGAGGCTTAAAACTTTCATCCCTGCCCTAGCAGGTTTGGCTCAGTGGATAGAGCCTCATGCCATGAACTGAAGGATCCCATGTTCTATTCCAGTCAAGGGCATATACCTCAGTTGGAGGCTCTATCCCTGGTTCTGCTTGGGGCTGTACAGGAGGCAACCAATCAATGTGTCTCTCTCAAATGGATGCTTCTCTTTGTCTCTCCATCTCCCTTCCACTCTCTCTAAAAACAAACAAGCAAAAAAAAAACAACAAAACAAAACAAAAAAAAAACCTTTCATCCCTACACCTTCAACTTTGAGGGGGCAGTGGGGCTGGAGGTTGAGTTCAATCATTAATGGCTCATGATTTAATCAGTATTACCTACATAATGAAGCCTCT